GCCCAGGCGGGTCTCGAACCCGCGGGCTCAGGCAATCTACTCACCTCAGCCTCCCAAAGGCGAATTGTTCTTTCTTTCATTCAAGACTCACTGGGTGAAAATAGCTAAGGCTTTGATGTGGAGGGACACACTTACGAGCCCTCTACTGGGTGAAAAGATATTGAGGACATAATTATACCATTTAAAAGCAGAGCTAAGCCGGGCACGGTGGCTCATACCTGTAATCCCAGCGCTTTGGGAGGCAGAGGCAAGAAGATTGCCTGAGCCCAGGGGTTCAAGAACAGCCTGGGAAACTTGGTGAGACCTCATTTCTACAATAAATCAAAAAAATTTGGCCAGGCATGGCGGCACACATCTGTAGTTCCAGCTACTTGGAAGGCTGAGGCAGAAGGATCACCTAAGTCCAGCAGGTTGAGGCTGCAGTAGCCTTGAGAGTGCCACTACACTCCAGTCTGGGCGACAGAGTGAGAATTCAACTAAAAAAAAAAAAAAGAGGTTCAGTATGAGCACAAGGGCTGAAAACTTAGCCTCAGTATTAATCAAGAAATTGATGTGGACCCCAGTCAGCTCCATACAGCCCAGAGATTCACTGGAAAATTCTGAAACAAAATAATACCCAGAATTTTGCCTTAGAACACCTGTGTGATGCATTCCTCTAAGGAGAATTCTAATAAATAAATAAATCCATAAACAGTAATGCCAGGTGTCCCTGGGACCCTGATGACTTCTTCCTTCCAACCTGAGCATCCCAGCCTTCCCTGAAGCTTCTCCTCTGTTCCAGGACTTTCCAATGATGCCTTCGAAATGGTCTGGTATTTATTCTCCCTTTTAGAGGTGAACAGACCACTTAGATGTGAAATGATCTGTTCCTGCTTATTTCTAATTATGAACAGGTAAATTTGTTTAAAACTCTTTATAAATTACTAAATTATGGTCTTAGTTGCAAAGTGTGGACAATTAGGTGAGAGTGATCAGGTCTCACATTATTGTACCACAGAGCATACCTAGTATTTTATCTGCTCCGCAGGAAGAGTACTGAGCTTAGCAAGGTGACTTAATCAGGTGGGAATGGCCAGTTCCCATGCCTCATTGAGTCCTGTGGAGCATTCAGCATTTCTTTTTTTTTTGAGTTGGAGTCTCACTCTGTCACCCAGACTGGAGTGCAGTGTCCTCTCCCGGCCACCGCAGCCTCGACCTGCTGGGCTCCGGCGATCCTTCCGCCTCAACCTTCCAAGTAGCCACCATGCCAGGTTAATTTTTCTTGATTTATTGTAGAGATGAGGGCTTGCCAAGTTGTTCAGACTGGTCCCGATGTCTAGAACTGCATTTTACATTGAGATAGTGACATTTAGAGTAAGAAAGTTTTACAAGGCCTAAGACGTCATGCATTGCAAAAGTTTTGCAAATCACAAGACTTACGATTAAATGGATACTATATAGTTCAAAGAAAGGGAGTCGACAGGGATTCAGGTCATAGGGATTTGGGCATAGTCTGCAGGAGCATCAAGGATCCCCTGAAGCTACTTACTGGGAGTGCAGAAAAGACAAAGGGACTCTCCGGGAATGTGCTCAGGAATGTGCAGGAGCGCTTGAACCCTTCCCATGCCCTTCTCTAGGAGCTGTGGCAATATGGAGGGACATTAGTGGGTCCCTGTATCACTTGGTTCAGAGAGAGTCTGTTCCATCGGTTGGAGGGCTTAAAATTTTATTTTGTTTTCATTAATTTTTGAGTCGGAGTCTTTCTCTGTGGCCCAGTGGCACGATCACAGTTCAGCTCGCCACAGCCTGGACCTCCGGGGCTCAGGTGATCCTTCCGCCTCAGGCTCCTGAGTAGCTGGAATTACAGGTGCGTGCCACCACACCTTGCCCATTTCTTTCTTTCTTTTTTTGTTTTTGGAGAGGCAAGGTCTTGCTGTTTCCTAGGCTGGTCTCAAGCAGTCCTCTTGCCTCGGCCTCCCAAAGTGCTGGGACTACAGGCAGGAGCTCCAACTCCCAGCCCAAGGGACAGAGAGCTAGAGAGAGGGGGACAGAGACACAGAGAGAGGAACATAGTCCCAGAGAGAAGGAAGCCAGGGAGGGAGCCTGAGACGTGTGTTCAGAGGGGCACAGTTCACCATATCGGAGGACCTTGGGCTCCTAGTCTTGCTGGGCTCCCTTGCCAGTAGAATGAGTCCACTCCTCCATCTGGGCAGGTTCGTGTCCCCTTGTTTGGGAGCTTGCCCTGAGTGGTAGCCTGCAAGGGATTGCCAGTCCCCCTCAGGGTCATTCCCTCGTCCCTCGCTCTCTTTTTTTTAAGATTAGAAAATATAGTTTATCCAAAAGTAAATTAGAGAGAGAGAGAGAGAGAAAAGAGAAGACTCACCTTCCAAAGGGAGGGGAGGGAGCCAAAGCTTAGGAATACATGGCCTGGCCGTAGCTCAAAGAGCACATGGCCACACCATAGCTTAACAAGGCGATGGCTGCCTCTCACTGTTTCTAGATCAGAATTCAGACTCAGCTCCTGGTAGGTTCCATCTGGAGGTGCAAAGTGTGATCGCCAGGGGACAATATGCACCCAAAGGATGGCAAGATCTCATCCACTAATAGTGACAGAAACCATACTGGGAGGGCAATCTGGGAGGGAATTGTGGAGGTGGTGAAAGGTTCAGGATGAAGTTAACATACCCAAAGAGGAGCCATTGTGACACTGCCGACTTCTGTCATATTCTCTTGACCTTACC